CCGCTTGGGCAGCTGGATGCAGACCGAGGGCGCCTTTAAGGGCGACTTCAGCGCCCCGGAGTGCTACCCTTGCTCCGCTGGCTACTACGGGAACATGAGCGGCCTCACCAACTCCTCCTGCGAAGGTGCGTGTAAGCGAGGCCACTTTTGTCCCAAGGGCACCGCGGAACCGCTCCCGTGTGCTCCGGGCTTCTACATGCCCGCGATAGGCGCAGCCAGTGCCGAGTCGTGCCTCCCTTGCTCTCCGGGGACGAGCCAGTCCACAGCCGGCGCGGACCGTCCCTGCGACGCGTGTCCTCCTGGCACGTTCGCCGATCAGCTCAACGCCACCGGCTGCACCGACTGCCCCGCGGGAAGCTTCTGCCCGAATGCAGGCACCGTCCGGCCATTCGACTGTGCCGCAGGGCAGTACCAGAACCTCACCGGCCAGGCTGCGTGCATGCAGTGCCCTGCTGGCGAGTTCCAGCCGGAGCGCGGCCAGACGTCGTGCGATTTGTGCGCCGCGGGTGGGTACTGCGAAGTCACAGACGACTGTGGCGGCGGCTTCACGCCCTGCCCTGCGGGGAGCTACAACGAGAAGACGGGCAGCAGCTCACCAGATGCCTGTCAGCAGTGCCCCCCTGGTACCTTTAGCCCGTCTTCAGGAGCTAATAGCAGCGGCACGTGCAAAAGCTGTCGCTCCGGCACCTTTGCTGCCGGTTCGCGCAACGCCGAGTGCGAGCCGTGCAAGGCGGGATCCTACCAGAACGCCATCGGCGCTGCCGGCTGCATCCGGTGCGGGCTTGGCAGCTTCTGTCCCGTCGGCGCGTCGCTCGAGCTGCCTGCGGCGTGCGAGCCTGGTACATACGCCAGCATCACCGACGGCGACGGCCTGCCCGACTGCTTCGACTGTCCGGCGGGCTCGTCGTGCGGCGGCGGGGCTGCGCCGCCGACAGAGTGCTCGCCGGGCTCCGTCGCCGCCACGCCTGGACTCGCCAAGTGCGAGCGGTGTGAGCCTGGCACATCTTCCGGCGCCGGCAGCGAGTCGTGCAGCGAGTGCGCTGCAGGCACTTACGCCGCCAACTCCGGCCAGGGCCAGTGCGTCCCTTGCCCCCACCCCCTCAGTAGTGAGCGCGGCGCCGTCATCTGCTCCGTCTGCCAGAAGGGCTTCTACCTGCTCCAGAGCGCCGACCCGGCCGACATCTTCTCCTCCCCGACCGACTACTGCAAGCCATGCCCGCCAAACGCCGAGTGCTCGGACGACACCTCGCTCGCGACCCTCAGCGTCCCAGCCGGCTACTGGCGCGCCAGCCCCTCCTCCGCCGTGCTGACGGCGTGCCGCGACCTCGGGGGCGATAGGGCCGGCGAGGCGCGGTGCGCCGGCAACGAGCGCGGAGCCAAGCAGGCTTCTCGCCTTTTGGAGGAGGCGAGCTCGGACGAGTACTGCGCGCCTGGCTTCAAAGGCCCCGAGTGCCAGCTCTGCGCTGCGGAGAATCACCACCTCGTCGACGGCGACGAGTGCAAAGAGTGCACTCCGCGCGGCGCGGCGGCGGCACTCATTGCCGGCATCGTCTTCGGCCTCTGCGTCGCTTGCGGCCTCGCGGCGTGGGCCTATAGCATGCCGTGGCGGAAGGAGCCGTACATCGGCCCGATCCTCCGCTTCGCAGACCGCTCCGTCAAGTACTACGTCGGGGGCGGAATGACGGCCAAGGTCAAGATCCTGTTTGGCTTCTACCAGATCAGCACCGTCTTGTCCTCCACCTACTCCGCGCGGCTGCCGGACAAGTACACGAGCTGGACCGACAACTTGGCCAACGCGATTTCCATCGACTGGTCGGGCTTTTTCCTGCCGGAGCAGTGCCTCGGCTACGGTATGCGACTCCTCGCCGTCGCTCTCTCGCCCGTCGCCCTCATCGCACTGCTGATGGGAACGGGAATTGCGCTGCGGCTCTACTACTGGCGTGCTGCACCGCCACCGCGCGAGAGATCGTGGTACGCGGAGGCGGCCCTCGGCCTCCTCGACTTCACGCCGGCCGGCCTCGTGCTCGTCTTCTGCTTCGTACCCTCCATCAGCGCCTCCATCTTCCGCGCGTGGAGTTGCCAGGCGCCTCCAGCTGATGACTGCCGTTGCTCACAGCCCCACCCCCTCAGGCATGCTCTGCTGATAGGCCTACTCCATCTCTCCGCCGAACGAGCGCTTGGAGCAGGTCTCCTACATGCGGCAGGACGCGAGCGTCGAGTGCGGCACCGAGGATCACGAGTCCATCACCGACGTCGCCACCGGTTTCATCGTCCTCTGGCCGGTCGGCTCGCTGGTGCTCTTCACGTCGCTCCTCGCCGCCTGCTACAAGCCGCTGCAGGCCAAGTCGCCGAATGCTCTGACGCGGGCCACCGCCTTCCTGCACCGGGAGTACGAGAAGACCTGGTACTGGTGGGAGGCGCTCGAGCTGGCGCGCAAGCTCGTGCTGACGGGCTTCGTGCTGCTGATCCCGGAGAAGAACGCGTTCCTTCGCCTCATGGTGGCGACCCTCGTCTGCTCGTGCTACGGCTTCATGCTTGCCGCCGTGCGGCCGTACAAGCGGGTCGAGGACAACGTGCTGGCCGTCGCCACGAGCCTCGTGCTCCTCCTCCTCTTCCTCGGCACCAACTGGAGCACCATCTTCCTCGGCATCGAGGAGCGGTACCAGGGAGCCGACCCCGCCGATGTCCTCGGCTTCAGAAAGCTCAATGCGATCGTGGACATGATGATCGTCCTCGTTGTTGTTGCACTCGTGATCTTCCTAATCGGCGCCGTCGTCGCCGCCCGCCGCGTCGCCAAGGTCCCCACGATCCGCCTCGCCTCGACCAAGCAGCCCCCCGAGCTGAGCATCGGGACTGACCTCACGTGGCACCTCTTCCTCTCTCACATCTGGTGAGTCACGCAGCTAGGGAGGGTGACGAGATATCCGGACAGCACGATCCAACTCTCACCGTAACCATGCAGGTCGACCGGTCAAGACGCCGTCGGAAACATCAAGAGCGAGCTCCAGCTGCTGCTGCCGGACATCAAGATCTTCCTAGACGCGCGCACACGCTCAGCCGCGCTGCGTACGGCGACACAGTCCTCTGACTTCGCTCGGCGTGCGTTGTCAGGTGGACGATCTAAAGGATATCGGGGCGCTCGAGGACTACATCCAACGCTCGCAAGTGATCCTCTTCTTCCTTTCGCGTGGTTACTTCCGCTCTCAGGCGCGCTCTCGCCGCCGCCCTGTCCCTCCCTCGGGATCCTTTGGCTCTCAACGCACCCGAGTCTGCTGCAACCCTCGACACTCCCCTCGTCTCACCGCCCGCCCGCCTGCTTGTCACCAGAACTGCCTTCGCGAGATCCGCTCGTCGCTCGAGCAGAGCAAGCCGATCGTCCTCGTCCAAGAGGCGGACCCTGACAAGGGCGGCGGGACGCTCCAGGCGCTGCGCGGCGAATGCCCCGACGACCTGCAGCAGGACATCTTTGAACAGGGCTGGACGCACACCGTGTGGATGCGAATTGAGGAGTATCAACGCGTCTCGCTCAAGACCATCGCCGAGGCGCAGCGGGACACAGAGCCAGCCGCAGTCCTCTCGCCCCCCACCCCGAGACCTCAGCCCCGGCGCCCTTGAACCGCAGGCGGTGCTCCTCTGCTCGCCCAACTATCTGAGCCAGACCTCCCTCCCGCTCTGCGTGCCGGGCGAGCCCGAGAGCCAGTCGCTCGCCTTTTCCAAACAGACCACGCTCTGGGCTTCGCCGGCCAACGCGGGCGCCATGGAGCTGGCCAACGAGATTGCCGCCACTTTCCCGAACCTCACCGTCTCCACCGCCGAGGCGCCCGGGCCAGCGACGCGCATGCTGCTCTACCTCAACGAGGACAGCTTCGTCAGCGACGCGCGGCTGGCCGAGCAGGTCAAGCAGGCGCGCCAGGACAGGCTGAAGATCGTCATGGCGCACGAGAACGACCCCGCGCTCGGCGGATGCCCCTTCTCGAGGTTCTTCGAAGTCACGCCGCAGGAGCGGGCTGGGGTTGGGTCATGATGCACTCCATCTTAGACGCTTAAACGCCCCCCCCACCCGCGTACCCTCCCTTGCAGGAGCTCATCGCCGGCGGGCTCTACAAGAGCCTGGCACGCTCGTGCTTCCCGGGGCGCCACCACCCGGCGCGCGTTTTGTCTCCCCCACATCTCGCCTTGCGCACCGGCGGTACACTCACCAGCCAGGGCGCTCAATTCCGCAGGTGTCGCTCGCGCTTCTGGCAAAGGACCTCGGCGCGACTCCCGCTCGGTCGGGCAGCGTCGCAAGCATGAGACGCCTCTCGGCCAGCATCGCCGAAGGTAGCAGCCGGCTCGTTCGCAGCCGCAGCTCTGCGACGATAACCACCGCGGGCGACGGCTCTGGAGGCGAGGCGACGGTCTCGGTGGACTCGGAGGAGTCGGCGGTCTCGGTGGAGGCGGTGCAGGAGCATGTCTAACCTTGGCGGCTGCACACACGGCAAACGCCATCTTGAGCAATTCACATGAGCATGCACCAGCGACCCGTGGGGCCGGGGAGGCGGGGAGGCGCGTGCCGCATCGGGGACCCCACGGGTCTTGGTCCATATCCGTCGCGCGCTCTCGCACTGGGGGCTTTCGCGCAGGAGCGGAACTGCTGCGCGGCGCGCTGTTCTCTGGAGAGGCGTGGTTGGGAGGAGGGAGGGAGGGCGGGGGATGCACATGTACAGCTGAGGCGCCGGGGCAATAGTTGCCTGCGAGGCGTCTCGCGCGCTAGCCAGGAGCGGCGGGCAGCGCTGTGGGTCCTGGAGATCGAGCGAAGGGATATCTGAAGGGTGGAGGCAGAGGGGAGAGACCACGTACAGTAGTGAGAGTCTCGCATGGTGCGCACAGCTCTAGACAGCGCGCGTCGTTGCATTTTCTTGAGTGGGATGAGGGAACAACGAAAACAAAATGACACCGCTCATCGCTCACGCGCTCTCTCTCAGTCTGCACTCGCTGGCAGACCCCGCTCCCCGGACCGCCTCTCTCTCTCTCTGGTCTGACGATAAACGCGGACTCAGACGGCAGATAAAGCCGTATGCCTCACAGTGTGTTCTCATCTTGGAGTTCCGCCACGCCTCGCTGAAGCCCCGCGCCTCCACGGCCGCGTCTCCTGCCAGAACATTTGCACCGGGCGGCGAGACGCCCTAGCTGGATCGTCGATCCAACGCCCCCCCAAACCCACCCCAACCCGCCACCCACCCACGGGCCGGCGTCCTAGATGCGGCGTCCGCCGCCAGCGTTGGAGAGGAGCAGCACGCCCTTCTTGCCCTTGCCCCCCTTGCTCGGCCGGCCGCTCGGCGGCACCGCCGAGGACGCGGCGGCCCACGACGCGGCGAGCTCCGGTGGCACCTAGTGGTAGAAGTGGGCAAGCCTTGCTTCCAAGATCGGACCCCTAGCTCCACTCACTCAGGTCAAACTCGGGGCGGCGCCTCCCGTCATCTCCCACATCTCCCCATGTCTCCCCATATCTCCCCATATCTCCCCATATCTTCCAAGCTCGGGGCGGCGCCTCCTCCTCGCCGTCGTCGCCGCCGCCGCCGCCGGCAGCGGAGGCGGAGGCGGAGGAGGACGAGACAGTCAAAGCTAAAGCTGCCGCGGAGGCCGCCCGCGGCTGCGAGTGGTGAAGGAGCGAGGCGCCGCCAATGCGCACGGCCGACGCCGGCGGGAGCAGAGGCGCGGCGAGCGGCGGCGGCGAGGCCGCTGGCGCGGAGGTTGGCGACCTGGCAACAACGAAACACAACCATGGTGCGTGAGTGTCAGGTTTGTTTTGGCACTGCTTGGGCTCTCTCTGCCCCCCCCCCCCCCCCTCTCCCTCTCTCTCTCTCTCTCTCTGCGACCTGGCCGCCCACGCGCCCTGCGGCAGCGGCGACGGCGCGGCGCCGGGCAAACCTCCAGAGCAGGGGGGCGAGCCGAGGCCGCGAGAGCCTGAAGTCGGTGAATCCGCCAACTTCAGGGCGGGGCTGCGGTCTCGTGCAGTCCATTCAGAGCACGTCGTGAAGACGACGAGGCTACGAGCGCAGTGATTACAGCGGAGTACGGTCGAGCACAGTTGAGTCCGTGTCCTCTCGAGCGCTGGCTGGGATGCAAGAATGCGGCTCCCGCTTCTAGGGCACGAGATACGGGGAGATACGGGGAGATGCGGGGAGATGCGGGGAGATACGGGGAGATGTCGGGAGATATGGGGAGATGCGGGGAGATGTTCCGCTTCTAGGGGCGCGAGAGCCGTCGACGCCCCGCGACGGGGGAGAGCCTAATCTCGGGCAATCTCGCGTGATCTCGGGTCACCTCGGGCAACCTCGGGTATTCTCGGCCCCGCGACGTGAAAAGAAGACCTGACGCGGCGAAGCCCCAGCGAGACATGCTCGCGAACGTCGGCCCGGCGGCGGCGGCCTGCTGCGCTTGCCAGGCCGCCGCGTAGACGCCGTCCACCTGCGCGGCAGGGGCGTGGGGGGCGTGATGCGGGCGTCTCCTGGCCGCCACTCATTACTCATCGCGATCTCTCCCCCATCTCTCCCCCAGATCTCCCCACATCTCCCCACATCTCCCCCATCTCTCGCACCTCGATGCGCGGCGCCTCCTCGTGCGAGATCGGCCGCCCGCTCGCGCGCAGAAGCTCGAGCGCCAGCCGCGACCTACGCCTCGAGATGCGGCGGAGATGCGGGGAGATGCGAGGAGATCGCGGGAGCTCGAGCGCCAGCCGCGACCGGCTGTGCTGCTTCCGCGCCGCCTTCTCCGCCTTCTCCGCCGCGGCGGCGGCACGGCGCTCCTGCTCCGCCTCCCTCCGCCGCCGCTCCGCGCGCTTGCGTAGCTCGGGCTCGAAAGTGGCCATCACCTCCGCAGACACGACCTCCGACAAGTCCAGCTCGGCCAGCCGGAACGCGGCGCCTGCTGACAATGATGGTGATGAACTATATGATACCTGTGAATACGGTGATGGGCGAGCCAAAGCGTGGCGCCTGTTAATAACGATGGTGATGAACTATGATACCTGTGAACACGGTGATGGGCGAGCCAAAGCGTGGCGCCTGTTAATAACGATGGTGATGAACTATGATACTTGTGAACACGGTGATGGGCGAGCCAAAGCGTGGCGCCTGTTAATAACGATGGTGATGAACTATGATACTTGTGAACACGGTGATGGGCGAGCCAAAGCGTGGCGCCTGTTAATAACGATGGTGATGAGCTATGACACCTGTGAACACGGTGAGGGGCGAGCCAAAGTGTGGCGCCTGTTAATAACGATGGTGATGAACTATGATACCTGTGAACACGGCGAGGGGCGAGCCAAAGCGTGGCGCCTGTTAATAACGATGGTGATGAACTATGATACTTGTGAACACGGTGAGGGGCGAGCCAAAGTGTGGCGCCTGTTAATAACGATGGTGATTGACGAGCACTACGCACTGAATAACCGATGGTTTCTAGCCAAACTGTGGCGCCTAGAACAACAGAGCTAAAACAACTGCTGTGAGACTACGTCCTCCAATAATGAGCGACGGGCGAGAGACGGGACGCGGCGCCGTCTGGCAAGTGCGCCGTCCCCTTGTACCGCCGCCGGGTCGCCTCATCCTGCCGCACCGCACGCACCTAAGGGAAGGGAAGGGGAGGGGGGGGGAGGTGGGGAGGGGAGGGGGAGGGAGGGGGGGGGGGGAGGGATAACTCCTCCACACACGAAGGGCAACTCTCGCGACCGGCGCTCGATCTCCTGCAATCTCGATCTCCTCCGATCTCCGACCCTTCGATGTGGGAGGCTCGATCGAGGACACGCGATGTGGGTTCGCGGCGTGTGTTCAGCTGCGTGTGCTCTGCTTCGTCTGCTCTGCACCTCTGTGACTGTCGCCCCCACCTCCTCCGGCACCGCCCTCCACGACCCAAACTGCTGCAGCAGCATCCGCGCGCTGAGCGGGTCTGCAAACGTCGCGCTGCCGCTCGCCTCCTGCAGCGCGTGCGGCCCCTCGCCCTCGCCCTCGCCCTCGCCCTCTCCCTCGCTCTCCGACACGCCTACTACCGCACCACCCGCAGGACTGAACCCACGCTGGGTTCGAGGCTCCTGCAGGTATGGGGCGCAGGCAGGCCGGAGCCAGAGACGCGCGGGGAACGGCTGTTTCGCTCCTCGCGCCGCTTGTGCTCCTCGGGTGGCGCGGCCCACGCCTGCCGGGACAGTTCCGAGAAGGGTCCGACCGGGAGGGAGGGATAGAGCGGGGAGGGGGGAGAGGGAGAGGGAGAGGGAGAGAGAGAGAGAGAGAGAGAGAGAGAGAGAGAGAGAGAGAGAGAGAGAGAGAGAGGTATAGACACGCCGTCAGCCGGCGGGACAGCTCCTCGATCGCAAGCCGCACGTACCGCAGCTCCTCCTCCGCCTGCCCTCGGAGCACCTCGCCTCACCTCGGAGCATCTCGGGCCATCTCGGGCCATCTCGGGTCATCTCGAGAGCCGGAAATCGTCTCCTTCCTAATCTCGGCTCATCTCGGGCGACCTCAGCTCCTCTCGCCTCAACTAAAGTGATCTCGGGTGATCTCGGGTGATCTCGGGTGATCTCGCCTCATCTCGGGTGACCTCGCGTGATCTCGGGGCAATCTCGGCGCATCTCGCGCCTCGAGCTGCATCGTCGCCGCGAGGTCGCCGGCCGCAAGAGGCGGCGCGCCGGCGGCGGGTGAGGGCAATGCCGAGGACGGCGGTGCGGGCGGCGTTGCGGGCAACGTTGCGGGCGGCGTTGTGGGCTGTGTCGCGGGCGTCGGTAGCACCAACGCAGCCTCGGCGGCGCGGAGCTGCGAGAGGGGCGCGTCGAGGGCGGAGGCGAAGCAGCGGACCTTGCAATTAGTAGATGCGAGGTAGACCCGAGGTAAGGATCCGAGATAGACCCGAGATCAATCAGAGGTAGACCCGAGGTAGATCCGAGATAGACCCGAACGTAGATCCGAGGCAGGCGGGGAAGGGGAGGAAGCAGCGCACCTCCGACACCGTGCCGCACACGAGGGCTGGCACCGAAGACACATCGGCGTAGACCTTGGGTGGCGGCGGCCCGCCGCGGCGGCGCGGCGCTGGCAGCGGGAGCCGTCGGAAGGTGGCGACGCCTCCCGCCCTCACCTCCCGGACAGAGAGCAGCAGCACCTATCCACCATACTCGGCAAGTGCTCGAGGACTTCGCCCGCCGCCCTCGCCTCCCCGACAGGCGCAGCCGCACGGTGCGCAGCTCCGACACGTGGAGGGCGTCGGCGCAGACGGGGCACTTGCAGACGCGCCCCTACTCCCATACCGCCAGAGCGGTCGAATCCGGCGTGGGTTCGGTCCTTTGGGTGGTGCGGTGACTTGCGCGCGCGCTCCTCGTCGACGGTGGCGGCGTGGAGCCGCAGCGCACAAGGCAGGCAGAGGATGTGGCCGCAGGAGGCAACCTTGAGGGGGGTTGAGTAGTCAACTCTGACTAGGGCAGGCGGAGGGTGGTGTGGCCGCAGGACGCCAAATGCAGTACCGCACGGGCTGGCGGCGGGAAGGAAGGAGAGTTGGTATAGTTCTCTCAGTAGGTTGACATGAGGCAGGGCCCACAGGGCGGAGGGCGTGGTGGGGTGGCCACCTGCGGCGCAGCTGCCGGCGCGACGAGGCAGATCGGGCACTGCACCTCCTCGGAGGTGCTCAGCCTACTACCGCACCTCCCACGGGACTGAACCCACTACCGCACCTCCCACGGGACTGAACCCACTACCACACCCACCACGGGACTGAACCCACTACCGCACCCCCCACGGGACTGAACCCACGCTGGGCTCGAGCGCTTGTTGGGATACAAGAGTGCCTACTATTGGCTCCGCTTCTGCGCTGCTCAGCGCGTCCGTGCTGCCAGAGATGGAGAGATGCGGGGGGGGAGGTAAGGGTGTGGAGCGAGATGTTCCGCTTCTGGGCTGCTCAGCCTCGCCGCCCTGCAGTCCTCCCAGCCGACCGACGCACGTGCCTCGCCGCTCGCCACGGGGCAGAGCAGGTGGTAGTGCGCCCTCAGGAAGCGCATCTTGGCGACGGGGCGCGGCAGCTTGGCGGCGGCGCGCCGCGCAGGCGTCCGAGCGGGCGCCGCCTCTCGAGGCGCGTGGGTGAACGCCAGCAGCGCGGCTCCCGCCTCCCGCTGCGCCCGCCTCAGGTTCCGAGCGTTGCCACCGCCGCCGGCGGCAGTGCCGCCGCCGCCAGTGCCGCCGCCGCCAGTGCCGCCGCCGTTCCCACTGCGGGCTGCGGTGCCACACATCTCGCACCGCCGTCGCCATGCCGCGTTGAAATACGTGCACGCTTCGCAGTTCCACAGTCCGACGTCCGTCTCGGAAGCCCCCTCCGCGTCGACGCCGTCTTTGCTCTGCCTGCCTCGGCCGCGCCCGTGCCGGCCGCTCCTCCCACGGCCAAGCCGTCGCTGCTGCGTGTGCTGCTGCATTACCTGCCGCCAGCCGTCGCGCCGTCGCGCCCTCCTCGCCGCGAACAGCGAGAATGTCACGACAAAAGGCTCTCGCGACAGCGAGAAAAACTCCGGGGTACTCGAGTCTTCTGATAAATGCAGTATGGAAGATACAAAGAGACGGAGGAGCAACGAGCGCCCTGGCGTGAGCCGAAGACACTCCCTCCGTAGACACTGATCACACACGGGTGGGACAGGGTGGGTCACAACAACGAGGCACGAGAGCGTGCACGACAGAGCGACAACGCAGCGCACTGCCGTCCAGTCGGCGAAGGGACGGCTGCTGCGCAAAGTGATCAGTTCTAATGAATGTACCGGGGCCCAACGGATAGATGAATCCGGGGCACCCTCCGCTCGAATCCCTGGCCGGGGGTTCGAGGTGGCCCCCACCCTGGGGCCTCCCATCAAAGGGACTGCGGCAGAAGACGCCCAATCTTGCACAAGTGCAAGAACCATACGTCTTCTGATAAATGCAGTATGGAAGATACAAAGAGACGGAGGAGCAACGAGCGCCCTGGCGTGAGCCGAAGACACTCCCAACTGCGCTCCGTCACCGGTGTCGCGGTCTCCCCCACTGAGGACGATCTGCGGGGGGGAGTCGCGCCGCCGGCATGTATCTGTGCAACTGTGTTTTTGCCTTGTCCCGTTTGATGGAGCAAAGTCACGGGCCGCCCGCGCTTGAAGGCGGTCGCGCCAGGCGCGGGCGGCACTAGTTGCCGGCGATCCGCTTGGGCAGCGCCCACGCTTGCCTCTGGCTGGGTCTCCATAGGTCGCGCGAGAAAAACTCAGCGCTACTCGAGTAGCCCGTAACCCGATGCCGATGGGAGAGAACGACGAGAGTGGGACGACCGCGAGGTGGCATGAAGGTTGCAGCGAGAAGCGGCGAGAGACTGCGAAGAGAGATAGGAAAAGGCAGACTCCCCCTAGGGTGGGCGACGGCTAGCGCATCACACACCTCTCCTTAAATCCCTGTGTGGTGGCGGCGTGCCGTCCTCCCATCCCTCCCTTGGGTTGTCTGTTTTCTTTCTTTCTTTTCCGATACCGATCATCCGGCCCGCTGGGTGCGCTTCTCAGCTCCCCGGCCCTGGATGTGAGGTTAATGACTGCTCTGCAAACGAGGGAAGAGGGACGCCTCACGAGCCTACGGAGGGCCTCGACTTGCCAACTCGCTGGTCAGACCACTCCAATCACCACCACACACTGGCACTAACACAGGTACACCACGGGAGCCGCCTAAGCGACTCCTGCGAGGGCGGCGAGAGATGGGGAGAGATGGGAAGATGTGGGGAGATCTGGGGGAGAGACGGGGGAGAGATGGGGAGATGTGGGGAGATGTGGGGAGAGATGGGGAGAGGTGGGGAGAGGTGGGGAGATATGGGGAGATGTGGGGAGAGGTGGGGAGAGGTGGGGAGATCTGGGGGAGAGATGGAGAGATCGCGATGAGTAATGAGTGGCGGCCAGGAGACGCCCGCATCACGCCCCCACGCCCCTGCCGCGCAGGTGGACGGAGTCTACGCGGCGGCGTGGCAAGCGCAGCAGGCCGCCGCCGCCGGGCCGACGTTCGCGAGCATGTCTCGCTGGGGCTTCGCCGCGTCAGGTCTTCTGTTCACGTCGCGGGGCCGAGAATACCCGAGGTTGCCCGAGGTGACCCGAGATCACGCGAGATTGCCCGAGATTAGGCTCTCCCCCGTCGCGGGGTCTCGACGGCTCTCGCGCCTCTAGAAGCGGGAGCCGCATTCTTGCATCCCAAGTAGCGCTCGAGAGGACACGGACTCAACTGTGCTCGACCGTACTCCGCTGTAGTCACTGCACTCGTAGCCTCGTCGTCTTCACGACGTGCTCTGAATGGACTGCACGAGACCGCAGCCCCGCCCTGAAGTTGGCGGATTCACAAACTTCAGGCTCTCGCGGCCTCGGCTCGCCCCCCTGCTCTGGAGGCTTGCCCGGCGCGGCGCCGTCGCCGCTGCCGCAGGGCGCGTGGGCGGCCAGGTCGCAGAGAGAGGGGGGGGGGGGGGGCAGAGAGAGCCCAAGCAGTGCCAAAACAAATCTAACACTCACGCACCATGGTTGTGTTTCGTTGTTGCCAGGTCGCCAACCTCCGCGCCAGCGGCCTCGCCGCCGCCGCTCGCGGCGCCTCTGCTCCCGCCGGCGTCGGCCGTGCGCACTGGCGGCGCCTCGCTCCTTCACGACTCGCAGCCGCGGGCGGCCTCCGCGGCAGCTTTAGCTTTGACTGTCTCGTCCTCCTCCGCCTCCGCCTCCGCTGCCGCCGGCGGCGGCGGCGACGACGGCGAGGAGGAGGCGCCGCCCCGAGTTTGGGAGATATGGGGAGATATGGGGAGATGTGGGGAGGGATGGGGAGATGTGGGAGATGACGGGAGGCGCCGCCCCGAGTTTGACCTGAGTGAGTGGAGCTCGGGGTCCGATCTTGGAAGCAAGGCTTGCCCACTTCTACCACTAGGTGCCACCGGAGCTCGCCGCGTCGTGGGCCGCCGCGTCCTCGGCGGTGCCGCCGAGCGGCCGGCCGAGCAAGGGGGGCAAGGGCAAGAAGGGCGTGCTGCTCCTCTCCAACGCTGGCGGCGGACACCGCATCTAGGACGCCGGCCCGTGGGTGGTTGGCGGGTTGGGGTGGGTTGGGGGGCGTTGGATCGACGATCCAGCTAGGGCGTCTCGCCGCCCGGTGCAAATGTTCTGGCAGGAGACGCGGCCGTGGAGGCGCGGGGCTTCAGCGAGGCGTGGCGGAACTCCAAGATGAGAACACACTGTGAGGCATACGGCTTTATCTGCCGTTTGAGTCCGCGTCAGACCAGAGAGAGAGAGAGGCGGTCCGGGTCTGCCAGAGCCCAGAGGCCAGCGAGAGAGCGTGAGCGAGAGAGCGTTGTCATTTTTTCGTTGTTCCCTCATCCCACTCAAGAAAATGCAACGACGCGCGCTGTCTAGAGCTGTGCGCACCATGCGAGACTCTCTCACTACTGTACGTGGGACTAGTCGTGGTCTCTCCCCTCCGCCCCCACCCTTCAGATCCCTTCTCGATCTCCAGGACCCACAGCGCTGCCCGCCGCTCCTGGCTAGCGCGCGAGACGCCTCGCAGGCAACTATTGCCCCGGCGCCTCAGCTGTACATGTGATCCGCCCCGCCCTCACTCCCTCCTCCCAACCACGCCTCTCCCGAGAAAGGCGCGCCGCGCAGCAGTTCCGCTCCTGCGCGAAAGC